TAAAATAATAAAAGACATCAAAACAGGAAAAGAATAAATCAGACTATTACTCTTTGCTTTGATATTTTTCTATACCTAGAAAACTCTAAAATCTCCATAAAATTCTCAAAACTGATAAATGACTTTAGTAAAGATTCAAGATATGAAATCAAGGTACAAAAATCAGTAATTTCTAGATACGAATAACCTCCAGGCTAAGAACAAAATCAATAACACAGTACCATTTACAATAGCCAAAGGAAAATGGTCCACAAGCAAAATTACAAAACACTGATAAAAGATATTAGAGATGACAGAGATAAGTGGAAAACCTTCCATGCTCATGAGTTGAAAGAATGAATATCAAAATGGCCACACCACTCAATGCAATTTGCAGATTCAATGATATTTTTATAAAACTATCAAAATCATTCTTCACATAATTAGAAGAAAAAAATTATTGTAAAATTCATATAGGACCAAAAAAAAAAAAAAAAAACAAGAGTGGGAATAACCAAGGTAATTCTAAACCAAAGAACTAAGCCAGAGGCACCATACTATCCAACTTCAAACTATATTACAAGGCAACAGTAATCAGAACGGCATGGTATATTTATAAAAAATAGACACATAGATAAGTGGAGTAGAAAAGAAAACTCACTAATAAAGCCACAGGCCTGCAACCATCTGATTTTAGACAAAAGCAAACAAAAACAGGCAATAGGTAAATAACTCCCTATTCTTTAAATAGTGCTGGTATAACTGATTAGCCACATGCAGAAGAATAAAATTGGACTCATACTTCACCCTTCATATTTCAAAATTAACTCAAGATGGATTAAGGTTTTAAATGGAAGATCTGAAACTTTAAAAATATTTGAAAAAACCTAGGATATAATTTCTTGTCAAGGGCTAGATAAAATATTTTTGGCTGGGTCTCCAAAAGCAATTGCAACAAATACAAAAAATTGACATGTGGGACATAATTAAATTAAAGGACTTCTGCACAGTAAAAGGAACTATCAAGAGATTACACAGACAATGTATGCCAAGTATGTACATTGTAGAATTGACAGCCTTTTCAATGAATGGTGCTTAGAAAACTGGGTATCTATATTGCAGAAAAATGAAGCTAGACTCCCATCTCTCACCATATACAAAAATTTAAAAATATGGATTAAGTATGTAAATTTAATGCCTCAAGCTATGAAACTACTGCAAAAAAAAATTGAGGAAACACTCTAGGGTAGTCTTCCGGTCAAAGATTTCTTGAGTAAGACCTCAAACAAAGCAGGCAACCAAAGCAAAATGGACAAAGAAATTACATCAATCTAAAAAGCTTCTGTACAGAGAAGTAAACAATCAACAAAGTGAAGAAACAGCCTATAAAATCGGAGAAAATATCTGCCAAGTGCCCATCTGACAAAGCATTGATGAGCAGAATCTATAAGGAGCTCAAATGGATAAGAAAATTCTGGTACATAATACACAATGACTTATTATTCAGCCATAAAAATAATGAAATCCTGTCATTTGCAACAACATGGATAGATCTGGAGTGTCCTCCAATTAGGTTAAATTAAATAAGCCAAGCTCAGAAAGAAAAATATTGCATGTTTTCACTCTCACGTTGGAGCTAAAAACAAAAATTAACTCATGGAGATGTAGAGTAGGAGGATGGTCACCAGAAGGTGGAAGAGGTCGTGACAATGGGGGATATACAGGGTGTCGTTAATGGCTACAAAAATAAAGTTAGAATGAATAATATCCAGTATTTGGTACATAGTAAACAGTAAGTTATTGTATATTCTAAAAGAATTAAAAGAGTGGAACTGAAATTTTGCCAACACAAGAAAACATAAATGCTAGAGGTGATGGATAACTCAGTTATTCTTATTTGATTATTATACACTTTATACTTGCATCCAAAATAACATGTCCCCCATAAATATGTGCAACTATTATGTATCTATAATAATTAAAACTAATATTTTTTTCTAACTAGAATATGGCAACAGTTCTTTAAGGGAAATATTAAATGGAAAAGTGAAAGCTATAAAACCTCCAGTTAGCTAGCATTTTAGTGTGTCATTACTACACAAATCTAAAACTGACACTGTAATTTCTTTCCCGAAGATTTTTATTTTTTTGGAATAGTCTTTAGGTTTCATTTTCCCACTTGAAATTACTTTCTGTGTATATAGTATCTCTAATGACAGTAGAGTCAATTTGCTTAAGTTTCTGTCTATGCTTTTTTTTTAAACTACTGTTTTGTAGTTAATATGGAAGTGAATAAGAAATATGTAATTGGTGAAAATGGAATATAGTTCTAGTTTCCAATTGCCAAGAAATTCTCAACTTTACTGATTCTGATTTCTTCATTTGTAAAATAAAGATCAGAGAACTTTTGCTAGGGCTCAACATGAAACTGTGTAAAAGCACTTTCAAAACTATAATATAAAAAAAAGGATGTCAGCATCCTTTGACAGTTGCTGAATGTTACGCTTTAGGTTAAAGCTAGGTCACACTCAAGACTTATTTTGGCTTCAAGTAGGTTACCAAGCTTTAGGATATGCTGCCCTCATGTGGATGGTGGTTGACAGCACTGAATAAGTGTGATGGATCCAAATGATTAGAAATTTAATAATTTTGTTGATGCCAAAATAATAAAGTTCATCTAAATATATATATCCAAAACCAAGATGAACACACACAATATGTTTATTAGAAAATTCTGTGGTTATTTTCCAAGCACTAGGTTTTTTAAATATATTTATTAAGAAAGACTTTTTCAGGTGAGAGCTAGAGCTATTTATAAGTTAAAATAAAGATGTAAATACATTAAAAGTTTAAGCAGATTTTATTAGCAACATATAGTCTTCATTAACAGGTTTAAAATAATCTTAAACAGTAAAGTGACATCGTTTTTATTCAATACTGGATATTATAATTTATAAATTATTTCCATTAAAATCTAAATAATATCCAGTGTTGTCTGATACAATTTTCATGACCATTGAATTAAAATATAACTAGGTTTTAAAATAAAGCTGGAAAATACTATTGTCTCATCTAAAAATGTTCAATACCTAGTTTCCTGAGGAAGTAACAAAGCTAACACAATAACAATAACAACCAAATTATAACTAGATATTGTAATCCTAGTGTTACCGTGTTTTAATACACTGTTTGGAAATTATTTAAATTTGAGATTAAATAAGAGAAAATTTTCCAAGCCTTAAGAATTCATTTTTTCAGTCATTCAATTAGGGATCTAAATAGATTCAAATTGCGGAATAACTTGATTGCAGACTTTTATATAGATAGTTTGTATTCATGTTGTATAATCTTAATAATATTATGAGAAATTACCATTCCACAGAGAAATGGGTCTGTTGGAAAATGTGGTGTGTGTATGTGTGTGTTGTGTATCTAAGTTGACAGAACTGGTTGTATTTCACTTGAAAATATTTTTGGGACATCAAATTAAATAGAGTCAGAAATTCCAGGAACTGAAATTAATTAATATAGTTGGAAAATTCTACTAAAGTTTGACAAAAGATATTGTCACATGAGAACAGATTTGAAAATCACAAAAATATCTAGGTGAATTCTAATACGTTTCTAAGTATACTGATTTAAAAAATCTTTTGCTATTTCAGCTATATCTTCTTCAGGGAGCACTGTAAGCCCAGTGGTTCTTGCAGACTCACAGAGGTATTGCCTTAATTGTCTTGAACAAGATTTGAATAAATTCTCTGATTTACCAAGCAGAGACTCTTATTTCCTTCCCTTTCTTTCTCTCAAACATGCAGAGTCTCTCTCTGTCTCTGGTCTGAGCCACCTGAAGCTGGGAGAGGAATGACATAAGAAATATGTGGACACCAATACTATGACTGTGCTGAGTTACACATGAAGCCAAGACAGCTCTGGGTCTCATCTAAGTCCTGCTGAAACTACTCCCTGGCACCTATATATTTGCTTGAGGCCCTGAGAGCTCAATCAGCAGGTGAAAAAGCCATCCAGGCCTGCGTTTTTCCCTTCAAGGTTGGTCCAGAAGTGCTGTCCAAGAATCAGAAATTAGAGCAAAAAATCTTAGACGTCTATATGGTATTATATTGCATATTGCGTATTGTGACCAAGCTGGCACTCAGAACACAAGACTCGGTTCCTTTCACTCTTCCTTCACCTTTCAAAGGCAGAGGAGCCTCACCCCATAGCCGCCTCCACCTCAGGCCACATGAAGTACTGCCACATTGCCAATGATGTTCTCTTAAGGCCCAAGTTCTCTCTGTCTCTTTCTGTCTTTTATTTTCTTTCTTTCTTTCTTTCTTTCTTTCTTTCTTTCTTTCTTTCTTT